CCCAGGAGACACACGGGATATCGCACAAAGATCTGCACCCATCTGTTCAATCCCGGTCAACAAACGCACACCCATCCAATGTGAAGGCAGCCCCTCTCCTTCCCCTCCCTCACCCCCCTCACCCCCCCCCCCCCCCCCCTCCCCCTCTCCTCCTCAAACTGCAGATACGGGGTCTGGGGTGACTGGGCAACCCCCTACGTGACCCTGGATCCCAAGTATGAGGCCGCACAGCTGCGTGTGTTTGGGAAGATGGTGCTGGACGGGCACATCTACAGGCGAGTGTGAGGTCGTGATTTTCCCCGGTTGGGACATGGGGTGCAGTGCGTGTGGGACAGGGCTGAGAGCGCATGACGGTTCTGGGTTGGGGATGGAAGTTGGGTTGTGAGGAGGTGTCGTGAGCGAGCATCGAGTTCCATGCAGTTTGTGCCCTTTTGCTAGACTCCTGTCCTGTCGGCATCCATGCATCCACTCCTGCTGCTGCTGAGGTGGCAATGCTCCGCCGCCCGCCCCCCCCCCCCCCCTAACTGTTTGAAACCTTAACCCCCCTCAGGACCCCACATCTTTGTACTTTTTGCCCTTCTTCCCAGGGTATCAACACACACAGCATGCTCAGACACACTCGTTACCCATTTTCTCAACCACAGGGGCCAGAAGCCGGTGCACTGGAGCCCGTCGACAGGCACGGCCCTGGCCGAGGCCGAGCTGGAGTACCCCGACGGCCACGTCTCGCCCAGCGTCTACGTCTCCGCTCCATTGTTGGAGGCGGGCCCCGGCGCGTCGCCCGACCAGACGCGCGCGCTGGCGGGCGCCTCGCTGGCACTGTGGACCACCACCCCCTGGACGCTGCCCGCCAACCGCGCGGTGGCGGTGAGCGTGGGCATGGAGTACTGCGTGGTGGAGGAGCGCGCAGGGGCGCGCCGGCGCCTGGTGGTGGCCACCGCGCTGCGCGAGGCTGTGCTCGCTCGGCTGGGCGGTGGCGAGGACTGCGACGTGGGTGCCACCTGGTCCACGCTGTGCACGCTGCCCGGCACCGCATTGCTGGGCAGCCGGTACGAGGGCCCCTTGACCGGGGACGACGGCCCGCGCCCCGTGCTGGACGGCAGCTCCTTTGTCACCGCCGACTCCGGCACGGGCCTGGTCCACCTCGCGCCCGGCCACGGGCACGAGGACTTTGCGCTGGCGGCAGCCGCGGGCGTGGCGGCTGTCTCCCCCGTGGACGACGCGGGGCGGTTCACGCGCGAGGCCGGCCACGGACTGGAGGGTCTGGAGGTCCTGGGCGAGGGCGGCGAGGCGGTGGCGGCGGCCGTGGCGGCCGCCGGGCGCCTGCTGGCGCGCGAGCCCTACGCACACCGCTACCCCTACGACTGGCGCAGCAAGCGCCCCGTCATCGTCCGCACCACGCGCCAGTGGTTTGCCTCTGTCTCTGGCCTGCGCGGCGCCGCGCTGGCCGCACTGGACGACGTGCGCTTCGTCCCCGGCGCGGGACGGCGCCGCATCGAGGCCATGGTGGGCGGGCGCAGCGACTGGTGCATCAGCCGGCAGCGCGCGTGGGGCGTGCCCATCCCCGCATTTTTCTACCGCGAGTCGGGGGAGGCGCTGATGAACGAGGCCACCCTGGACCACGTGACGCGGATCGTGGAGGAGCGCGGCGCCGACGCCTGGTGGGAGCTGCCCATCGAGGACCTGCTGCCGCCGCAGTACCGCGCAGGTCAACCTTTGATCGTGCTGATGTTTGGGGGTGTCTGGGGAGGAAGGCGGTGATCTGGGCTGAAGGCGGAGTGGAGTGATGGGTGGGTGGGCAAGGGGAGATGCTGGCAGTCGCGTGCTGCGCCACTCGGCAGGCCATGCGCCCCCGGAAAGGTTGCTGAAGAGTGGAATGAAACCTAGGAAGATCCTGGCCCCCAGGCTGCATCGCCCCGGTGCCTGCACCCCACTCCCTGCTCCCCCCTCTTCCTCCACCCTCTGGTCATCAGCACCCCACCCCCCATCCCTCACCCAAACACTGCAGAGGCTGTCCAGCTGGTCAAGGGCTCCGACACCATGGACGTCTGGTTTGACTCCGGCACCAGCTGGGCCAGCGTCCTTTCCGAGGGGGGGTCTGCAAAGGACGGCACCCCCCCCTCGCCGCGCTTTCCAGCCGACCTGTACCTGGAGGGCTCCGACCAGCACCGCGGCTGGTTCCAGAGCAGCCTGCTGACGGCGGTGGCGGCGCGCGGGACGGCGCCGTACCGCCGCGTGCTCACCCACGGCTTCCTGCTGGATGAGGCGGGGTTCAAGCAGAGCAAGTCGGTGGGCAACACGCTGGACCCGCGCGCCGTCATGCTGGGAGGAAAGGATGCCAAGAAGGAGCCGGCCTACGGCGCCGACGTGCTGCGCCTCTGGGTGGCCTCCGTGGACTACACCGCCGACGCCAGCGTCGGGCCCCGCATCATGGCGCAGGCAGGCGGGGGGGATGGGGAAGGGGGGTTGGGGGGGGAGGAGGAAGGGGCGAGATGTGTGATTTGGCTCTGCTGAGGATACTGCTCTGGCACGTGCCAGCCCTCCTTTCTGCCCTCCATTCCTGGCGCTGTAGAGTTCAGCCAGCCCCCATAAACCAACTTGCCGTCTGTCAATACCCACCGTCTAATTAATCCATCGCCAGGTCAGCGAGGTGTACCGTAAGATCCGGCTGACGCTGCGCTTCATGCTGGGCAACCTGTCCGGGTTTGATCCCGGGCAGGCCGCTGTCCCGCACGCCCAGCTCGGCCTCACAGACCGGTACATGCTCTGGCGCGTGGCGGCGCTCATCGACGAGTGTCACGCAGCGTATGACGAGCACCAGTTCTTCAGGTGCTGAGGGGGTGAGGGGGTGTTTGCTTTCGTCAAAAGGGGCGGGCCGCTCTGGTCGTCGTGATCGGTTTGCCATGCACGCGTATCTCAGCAGCAGGTACTGAAGGGGAGCCTGCAATCCTCTGGCCCCCTCCCGCCACCTGCCCCATCAACACCCCCCTCTCCCCACCGTCATTGCCACCACCTCTCCCTCCCCCTTTGGCCCCCAAAACAAGCAACACCCCACCCACCCACTGCAGAGTTTACCAGGCTATTCAACGCTTCTGCGTGACGGACCTGTCCAACTTCTACCTGGACGCCAGCAAGGACCGGCTGTACATCCTGGGCGCGGCCTCCCCCGACCGCCGCGGCGCGCAGACGGTGCTGGCGGCCACGCTGCGCGCCATGCTGGCGCTGGTGGCGCCGCTGGCCCCCCACCTGGCCGAGGACGCGTGGGCGGCTCTGCCCTGGCCCGCGCCCGCCGAGTCGGTGTTCGGCGGCGGCGCAGCGGCGGCCGACCCGGCCTGGCGCGACCTCCCCGCCGCCGACCTGGGGCTGATGCGCGCTCTGCTGGCCATCCGGGGCGAGGTGAACGCACTGCAGGAGCGCGCGCGCTCCGCGGGCCTGATCGGGTCCAGCCTGGAGGCGGCGGTGGATGTGCATGTGAGCGACGCAGGCCTGCGCGCACGGCTGGCGGAGCTGCAGGCCGCGGGCGATGCGCAGGACACCATCCAGCACGCCTGCATCGTGAGCCAGGCGGCGCTGCTGGACGCGGCGCCGGGGGCCGGCGAGGGCGCGGTGTGCACCGCGGCGGCTGTAGCGATCCCCGGGGAGGAGGGCGCCGAGCTGCGCGTGCGCATGCGGCGCGCGGCGGGCGCGCGCTGCGTGCGCTGCTGGAACTACAGCGAGGCGGTGGGCGCCGACGCGGAGCACCCCCACCTCTGCCACCGCTGCGTGCCGGTGGTGCGGGCGCTGGGGCAGCCAGCCCCCACGCAGGCGATGGCCTGAGGTGTGGGGGGGGGCCTGGTGGGTGGCCGGTGGGAGGGCCACTGCCCTTGCCAGTCCTCACCCTGTGGTGCCTGCAAGTGTGCCATGCCAGCCTGTGACATGCAATTTTGGGAGGGTCAGTATCTATTCAGAGGTTTTTAGAAGGATGTCTGAAGGATCCTGGAAGGGTCCTCTCGTTGTGGCGGGCATGTGCTGATGTGGAGCTGCACTGGGAGCCGCCTGGGGACAGCTCAAGACGCAAGCCACTGCGAGTGGCACTCCTGCAGGTCTCGATCAACCTGAACTGACAAGGGGGGAGGTATCTTCAGTTCTGGGTTCCAATCTTATATTACCTGTGTCCTCGTGGCCCTGGCGACCTTGTGTACAGGGACAGACATGAAGTCAGATGCTGCAAGAGATGAACACGCCCTGGCCAGCACAGCAACCAGGCTTGCACACCAGATCCCCAGATCTTGCTGCTGATTTGTTCAGATCGTGAACAATAGAGGAGTCCTTCGGGATCTACAAAGTCTTCCAATTTGCCGGAGAGGTTCGGCTGACTCCATATCCCCTTCTCTCAGCCCTGTAGGACACACATGCAGCGAGGATGTGGGGCCCAGGTGTTCCCATCATGATCACTCATGGCTTGATTCGCCCCTAGAGTCTTGTTCCCTGTAGACTCCAATCACGCTTGATCTGCGTTGAACTTCTCCTACCCTGTGATTTTATTCCTGATGAGGCCAAAGACATCCTTCTCGGCCATACCACCTCCACCCAGCCCCTCTCCTCCAACCCCACCACCACGTGCGAGCGCCACAATTCAATATGGTGAACCTGTAGATGGGTATGTCGATATCACGTTTGGTGTCACTGCTGCATACATTCCCAGTAAGATTGTATGCACCACGTATTCAACCGTGCTCGCTCAACTCGTTTACAAAGATGATTCCAGCCCAACAGCCACCGTCACTACCATCGTGAGGCCCTCTGCGTCGGTGTCGAATATGGAGCAGTACTCCTTTGGCTCTGCAGCCATCTACGTGGGTGCTAACCTCAATGAGGTGGCGTCACTGTCTCTGCTCAACCCTTCACCCCCTCCTCCTGCCATCTTTCCCCCTCCTCCACCATCACTTGGAACACTCAGTGGACATGTTGCTCATGTCGGTGGTGTCTTCTCAACCTCGGTTGCGTTCAGCAGCCAACCTCCGGACACCTTCAACTACGCTTACTTCACGGCGGCCGGTACCGTGGTGTCCTCTGGTTCCAATCCACCCAATGGCAACCCGAGCACATGGACTGATACAGTGGGTCACGACATGGCAGCCTTGATGTCCTATGTCCAAGTAGTGTCCATCCAGAATTCAGGCGGGAACTCAGCTGCCCTGACTCTGACTTGGTGAGCTTGTCAGGCTGCTCTGTCCCCATGACGTTCAGCAATGTCCACCAGATGGTTTGCGATGATCTCCTTGTAAGTGACCACGAGAACCACTGCAGCGTGGACCGATGCAGTCGGTCTGAAGAAGGGCTATCACGACCCAGTCCCCAATCGCTGCATGGGAAGCGGGTCGAGCAGGCATGGTTGGGCGGCGAGGGCACGATGCCGTGCACAGGTACTGGTGAAGGGGGGAAGAGGCCCGGCCAGATATCCACGCAGCCCCCTTGCATGTCGGTTGCAGGGATCCTGAAGCAGGTACCACTGCGCCCCCCGCTGCCCACCCCCACCAGCTCTCACCTGTGGCGAGGGCGGTCCCAGTCCCACCAAGGGTCAGGGCCTCACTGGGGGAAACCCAGTCGGTGGGTGGCTGCCCATCCCGGGATTCCGGCAGGGACAAGCGGTGCCAACATGGCATCAAGACCTGGTCTGACATGCGTCCTTGCCGACCATCTTTCACTAAGCTACCCTGGGGTCCAAGATGGGCTTCATCGAGGAAGGCCTTGACCGCATGTGGGCAGCTGTGCAGGAGGGTGAGGAGGCTGTAGCAAGCAGAGGCAAGCTACGAGGTGTGTGCATGGCCCCTTTGTTCTATTAACCTGTCCTGCATGCTTTGTCCCTGTGCCACACTGGCACTCCGACGCTTTTCATCCAAAACCAAGCTGCCAACACAAATTGACTGATTACACGCCGACACAGGGTTCATCGCCACATTCAAGGCCGGAAACAGCAGAAAGGGTGGTGACGGGCCAGTGCCGGTGTCCGACCCGCCACATGGCACCTCTGCTGACCTGGGTCCATACTCCCTGGAGCCTGACACCCAGGGACTGGACAGAGCCCCTGATCCACACCTTGCGGACAGTAACGGCACACCGACACCACTGATGGGCATTCCCGGCAACTTGGTCTTGCCACTGGACTGCCAGTGAGATATTGCCAAGACCACACAGACTTAGGCACCCATCATAATCTCCCTGGTCGCGAAGAAGGGACGGTGGGGGGAGCGCGATGCACTCTACAAATTCATGACGGAAGCTGTGCTGCCTGTGATGCCCGCTTGGCTGGCCAACCCCACCCCCTGAAACGAATACTTTCAGGGCAGAGCACGCCGCAATCCTTTCTGTGGAGAGGACATGCAGCATGTGCTGATGGTCTGGTTTAGCGGAGGGACAAAGGCCAAGGCAACCTCGTTACTGCTGCGTATCTTCCTTTTTTCAACAACTATACCATCAGCGAGGCAGGCAGTGTGTGAGGGGCGATTTTTGCCATGGTGATGGCGAAGAGTGTGAGGAGACCCCAATTGGCCACCCAAGGCCCAAACGGGGGGATCCGCCACGACTGACATGTGCAGACTGCTCTCAATCACACTTGCATTCGATACTATACCGTTCTTATGCTGGTTCAACCCAACACTCTTCCTCGTGCGGTGCGTATCAAAGCCCACGGGCCATGGCAAAACCCCTCAAAGGGGCGAAGAGGGGTCCGACCCTAAAGTGGGGCTTCCGGAGACCAATCGAGCATCGAGATATCATTTAGGTGTAGTTTAAATCTGGGTCGGACCGACACGTACTCCATACGGGTTTTGCGACACGGCCGATCAACCCTGTGCAATTTCAGGGTGTTTCGGGTCCAGGTCCAGGTCAGCATGTTGTCAAGTTCATGCCATTCAATTATCTTCTGCTGTCGAAGCATTGTCCCGAACGGTATTTGGCTGCACATTGCAGCATCGTAGCTCCAATCCTAGTGCAGCCCATCGGGGAGCTGAGTCTCGACGGCCCAGCCGGGATGGGGTCTCGGCAAGGATTCCCCGCTGTAGCGATCTTGCTCCTCCTGGGCCCCGCGCTGTCTCTGGCAGCCCGGACTCCAGATAGCGCGCAGACTGTGCTCAGGGGCGAGCCCCAAGCCCCCGTGTGGCCGGACTCGTACTCCGTGGAGTACACCTTTTCCCTGCCCTACACTGCCAAGATCCAGCCCCATGGCATCAGGCAGGGCACGGGGTATGGGCGTTGCGATTGGCGGGCATTCCCTGCTTGCTGCATGGCTTGGTGCCTGATGAGCAGTTCGGCTGGGGTCTGCTTGGCAATGTACAAGATCCCCGGGCCAGCTGGCCATGGCACCCACAGATTCCCTGAGCCACTCCTGCCAGGTACCCCGTCGTCTTCCATCGCGACGGCAAGGCCCAGCGGGTCCGCATGGAGACATACAATGGCACCAACGTCATCATCTCCACCAAGGTAAGGGTTTGGCGTCAGCATGGAGGTGGGGCGTGGCCTTTGTGGACGGCCGCGCGACGCACCATTGGGGGAGGGCGTCGATGGTGCGGCGGCATCGGTCTCGCACCGCCCAGCACATCCCCGGCCTGGGTGTTCTGATTCGTGCTGGCTGGGCCACTCGCTGCCAACAGGAGGCTCCTTGCCTCGGCCGCTGGGACCGGCGTGGCACCCCCTTCTGCCCTGCCGCTGGCACCCCCCGCTGCATACGCTCCTGACCAGGACGCCGCCCGCCCGTTGCACGGGCCCACCCCTTCTCCCCTCTGCCCCACTCCATCTCCTGAAGCCCCCCTCGCACGCCCCCGCTTCCTCCAACCACAGTCTGTGCAGTACGAGCTGCTGCCCCGCATCGACCGTCAGCAGTGTCTGGTCTGGGCCGAGCCGGGGCTGGCCGACGCGCAGGCGCTGCCCGACCTGGCGGGCTGGGCCTACCAGGGCGCCGAGGTGCTGGAGGACGGCGCCGCGGTTCACGCCTGGCACTACCTGGCACGGCACCAGGCCAAGAGCCTGGCCTACCGCTTCTACGCGCACCCCGACGGCGCACCCCGCCGCCTGGACATGCTGGGCACCGACGCGCTCTCCGGTTCCCACTTCGACCGCTGGGTGCTGGACTACGCGAGCTACGTCCCCGGCCGCCCGCGCGCGGAGCTGTTCGACCAGCCGCGGCTGTGCGAGGGGCGGGCGCCGGTGGATGGCGGCGGCCGCGGCCCACGAGCCGGAGCCCGCCCGGGCTCCGGCTCCGGTGCGCTGCGCATGGCGGGCCTGCTCCCGCGCGTCGCTTACCGCGGGCACCACGCGGAGTACGACGCCTTCCTGGACTCGCCACACGGCCGGGAGCGGGCGCACAGCAGCCTGGCCGACTACGCCGCGCGGGCGGAGGCCTTCGAGCGCAACGCGGCGCGCATCGCGGCGCACAATGCGCGCAACGCCTCCTACACCATGGCCATGAACCGCTTCGGCGACTGGCACCGGGTGAGGGTGGGAGCAGGGGGGTGCAGGGGGGAGGGAATCGAATCTCTGATGCTGCACCGATGTCACGGCGGTGAGGGATGGCTGCCTCTGCATCTGAGTTTTGCGATAGCCAGAGTGTCATGCGCTGGCACTGCACTGTGAGGGGTGGTACGCAGGCCTGACTGTTTCGGTCGGCGGCCCATGCCAAGCCCGGGGTGCCGTGCGCGGCGGGGCCGCTGACCGTGGCCGAGCCTCCACGCTGCGCGCCGTGGCGCACGCAGCGAAATGTACCTGGCGGTGTGGCTCCCCTGCGCATGAGGGGGCCGCAGGCTCCCCCTCGCACCCCCCGACCACCTTTCCGACACACCACACGGCGCAGGAGGAGTACCTGGCGGCCATGCTGCCGCGGCACGGGCGCGCCCGCCCCGCGACGCGGCCCGCCGACGACCACGGCCTGCGGCCGCACGAGATCCCCCACCGCGCGCTGACCGACCCGGCCCGGCTGCCCGCCGGCGTGGACTGGCGCGGGTCCGGCGCGGACGCGGCCTGGGTCAAAGACCAGGCCTCCTGCGGTTCCTGCTGGGCCTTTGGCGCGGCGGGGGCCATGGAAGCCGCCTGGTTTGTGGCCACGGGCGAGCGGGTCAGCCTCTCGGAGCAGGCCGTCATCGACTGCGCCTGGGGCGCGGCGCCGGGGCACGAGGAAAGCGCGGCGGCCTGCGACGGCGGCGACGCCTGGGCGGGCGTGGCGTACGCGGTGGGGGCGGGGGGCCTGCCCTCCTCGCTGGAGTACCAGTACAAGGGGCAGTCGGGGTACTGCGAGGCCAACGACACGGCGGCCGTGGCGCGGTTCGCGGGCTTCTCGCGCGTCCCCGCCTATGACGATGCCGCGCTGATGGAGGCGGTGTACTCGCGCGGGCCGCTGGCGGTGTCGCTGGACGCCAGCCACGACTCCTTCACCTTCTACTCCGCGGGGGTGTATGCCGAGCCCGACTGCTTCTTCAAAAAGGACCAGCTGGACCACTCCATGATGCTGGTGGGGTACGGCACGAGCGCAGAGGGCGACTACTGGCTCATCCGCAATTCCTGGAGCGACCACTGGGGCGACGCGGGGTACGTCAAGGTCTCCCGCGACCGCCACGGCTGTGGCGCGCCCGCCGATGCCATGTACGTCGTGGCCGACGCAGACGGCCTGAGGCCTTGAGGGGTGCCTGAGGGGGTGCAGGGGAGCGTGTGTGCATGCCTTGCGACTTGGAGCTCCGAACCTGCCGTCGTGTGAGTGGGCGCACGCAGTGGTGGCATCAGAATGTACTGCATCAAGGATACAAGGAGAGGGAGGGGCGCCACGCCTTGGCCCCGGCCATCAGCACGTGCGCGCGCGCGATTCAGGTTCCGGGGAGACTCAGCAGTCCACAGCCGTGCATGGCACTGAGCCTGGGCGGTCATTGGATCCCTACTGCAAGTAAATATTCGATTGAAGTGCACAGTTCCATACTTTGGATCGGTTTGGGGAAGCAGTGGACGCTGGGCACACGCGCTGCGCGTCACGGTAAGCACAGTCACGAGGAGATCCAATACAATGGCGCTTCTTTCGTGCCAGGACTGGCCAGAAAGCCATGCACTGTAGTGAGTGGTATGAACTCATTGCAGGGCATGATGTCCCGGGGGGCGGGGTCCTCTCGCACCCTCCACCAATACCTCCCTGACTCCTCACACAGCACGACCCACATGGCCAAAAAGAGCTGGGGCACGAGCGACAAGGTGCAGGAGGCCAGGGAGCGCAAGAACAGCTCCAAGAAGGAGGCAGCTGAGGCAGAGGCCAAGCAGAAGGAGGAGGCGTACTGGAGCCAGCATGCCAACCCCAAGGGAAGAAAGGACGCCAAGCGCGAGGAGCAGGTGCGTGGCAGGGTCACACAGCCGGCCTGCCGTCTTCTGGGCGCACTTTGTGTAGCCCCAAGTCGTGGCCGGTGCATAGGCAGATGAGGGCAGGCCCCGCTCCTGTCCTCTGACAGGAGCGGAGCCGAGAGGAAGCTGCTGCCCGGCGTGCAGAAGCCAAGCGGCTTGCTGCTGAGGAGGAGGCTGCTCTGGCGGGGCCCTCCCGCAAGGCTGCTCCAAAGCCCAAGCTGACCCATCACCAGCTAGCGCAGCAGAGGGAGCGAGACCAGGCGGCAGCTGCCGCTGCCGCCGCCGAGGCCGCCGCGGCAGCCCAACGAGCGGTGCGTGCTGGGGGTGACGGGGCTCAGGCGTGTGACACAGTCACGCAACAACCTGGCTCTTCTTATGGGGGTACTGGACACAGCCGCAGCGGCGTGCCATATGCCGAGGCTTATGCTCGATGCAGCAGCTGTTTGAGCAGTTGTTGTGCAGGATGCAGCGCTGCGGCATGATGCTCTCGGTCAAACCTCCTCGACCAACTCATAGGTGACTGAGGACGCGTACGCGGCAGCAGTGGAGGTGGAGAACACAAACGTCCAGGAGGGGAACGGCGTGAATGCACGGGGCCTGGATCAGGCGCTGGAGCAACTGGGGATTGCCGAGAAGGCACAGGATATGCACCCTGAGAGGTGAGTGAGGGGCATGCATCCTGGCGAAGGCTTTGCCACAGATGCAGCAGGAGACGTCGCGCAAGCTCTGCTTGCAAGCGGGTCTCGTGTGCGCACAGTGGCCTGCGTCGCCAGTTCCGGGTCTGGCGTGCTGGGGATGCCTGCCACAAAGCGCCCAAGCCGCATCCCAACGCCTTCCCTCGATCCAGGCGGGCCAAGGCTGCATGGGAGGCCTACTACGAGGAGCAGCTGGCTGTGCTCAAGGAGGACAAGCCGGGCCTGAGGCTCATGCAGTACAAGAGCATGATATTCGAGAACTGGCAGCGCAGCCCGCTCAACCCCCGCAACCAGGCTGTCTCCAAGAAATAGCTGGCAGGATGCCATGTGCGCCTGCATGCCTCCTGCAGCCCCATTGGATCAATGGATGCTGTTTTTATATGACTGCGGACCAGGTATGCCCCCATGGAGCCACAGGTTTCCGTCCCCAGAATCATGGGATTCGTGTTGATATATTATAACAGGCCCCCCGCAGGAATCCCAGCACTGCTGCTAACACTGCATGCAAGCACGTGCGAACACGGTTCGGGGCCAAATTGTCACCTTGTGATCCCAAGCTGGTATACCGTGGAGCTCATATCACCAAGCTATTCGAGCCTTTGAATCCGAAATAAACATGGGTGGCGATTGTTGCGGAGGCAAGCCCACGCCCGCCGTGGCTGACCAGTTGGCAGACCTGAGCCTGGACAATCTCCCCAAGTCCAATGGCTCTGCTGCATCCGAGAGGCCATGGGCAGAGATCGCCAAGGAGAAGGCGGTTTACTTCAATAAGCGCGTGGAGCTATTTGAGAAATATCGAGAGCGGGAGGTCGCAGCGGTCGAGGCTGCCCGCGCAGCCGCTGTCCCGGTGCAGATCACGTTGCCCGATGGGCACGTGCGTGATGGCGTAAAGGACGTGACCACCCCCCTGGACATCGCCGCGGCCCTCTCCAAGAGCCTGGCGAAGAAGGCGGTGGTGGCGGAGGTCGACGGCAAGCCCTGGGACCTCTTCCGCCCCCTGGAGCAGGACTGCAACCTGGCCATCCACACATTCGACAGCCCCAAGGGCAAGGATGTGCGTTGTTCTGGTTGTTTGTGCCTGTGATCGTGGTCTGGCTCCGTGCAGGTGCTGCCTGACGAGGCTGGGCCCCGCCCACCGTGGCGCCGGCCCCAGCGCTCATGTCTCTTTTCCCCCCTTGCTCTCCCGTCTACCAGGCCTTCTGGCACTCCAGTGCCCACATCCTGGGCCAGTCCCTGGAGCTGGAGTTTGGTGCGGAGCTGACCATCGGCCCCGCCCTGGAGGAGGGATTCTACTACGACTGCTACCTGGGGGACCGCACTCTCTGCGAGCCCGACCGCGACACCATCCAGAAGCGCATGCAGCAGGCAGGGGCCATCGTTACGAGGATCACTGGTGTACATTGGGTAGAGGGGAGAGATGTGCCAGCCTGCATGCCACAGGAGCTCTGCCGCCGCAGCACGAGGTCTCCGATCAGCCCCTCACCCTAGATCTTTTCACCCCCCTCCGCATACCATTTTTTGGGCTCCCTTCACTCACTCACGCAGATTGTGAAGGCCAAGCAGGCGTTTGAGCGCGTCACAGTGTCGCGCGCGGAGGCGCTGGAGATGTTCCAGGAGAACAAGTTCAAGGTGGAGCTGATCCAGGGCCTGCCCGAGGACGCCAGCATCACCTGCTACCGCTGCGGGCCCATGGTGGACCTATGCCGTGGTCCGCACGTGCCCAACACCGGCGCGCTGCGGGCGGTGGCGGTGACCAACGCCTCGCGCGCCTTCTGGCGCGCCGACGTCACGCGCGAGCCTCTGCAGCGCGTCTACGCCATCGCCTTCCCGGAGGACAAAGAGCTCAAGGAGTATCAGCACCGGATAGAGGAGGCCAAGAAGCGCGACCACCGTCTGCTGGGCGCGCAACAGGAGCTCTTCTTCTTCCACCAGCTGTCCCCCGGGTCCTGCTTCTTCCTCCCTGCCGGCACCCGCATCTACAACGCCCTCGTGGAGGTGTGTGCATATGGGGGGGCGGCCGCTATTCCAGGAAGAGGGAGGGAGGCAGGGGTCTGTCAGGAAGGAGATCCCCTCTGTCGTGTTGGTCCCCTTGGAGGTAGACAGGAGCCTCACACAAGCCGGGCACCCTGCACTCCTCCTTGCCATTGAGGTATTGCATGTACTGATCAACCGTCTCCGAGCATCATTCTACATTTTCCAAGCCCCGTGAACAGACACACACAGGTAGCCCAACCACCAACACCCCTCTTCACAACCTCTCCCCCCCGCCCGCCCCCCAAAACCAACTCTCTCAGTTTATCCGCCAAAAGTACTGGAAGTACGGGTTCGAGGAGGTGGTCACCCCCAACATCTACAATATGGACCTGTGGAAGACTTCGGGCCACGCCGCGCACTACAAGGAGAACATGTTCTGCTTCGACATTGAGAAGGGCGAATTCGGGCTGAAGCCCATGAACTGCCCCGGCCACTGCCTGGCCTTCGGCCACCGCACGCGCTCCTACCGCGAGCTCCCCCTGCGCCTCGCCGACTTCGGCGTGCTGCACCGCAACGAGTTCTCCGGCGCGCTGCAGGGCCTGACGCGGGTGCGCCGCTTCCAGCAGGATGACGCGCACATCTTCTGCCGCCCCGACCAGGTGGCGGCCGAGATCGAGCGCGCCCTGGCCTTCCTGGCCGACGTCTACGGCCAGCTGGGCCTCAGCTTCTCCCTGGTGCTCAGCACCCGGCCCGAGGGCTTCCTGGGCACGCCGGGGCAGTGGGACGCGGCAGAGGGCGCGCTGCGCAACGCGCTGGACGCCTCGGGCCACGCCTGGGAGCTGAACGAGGGCGACGGCGCCTTCTACGGCCCCAAGATCGACATCACCGTACACGACGCGCTGCGGCGCAAGTTCCAGTGCGCCACCGTGCAGCTCGACTTCCAGCTGCCCCTCCGCTTCGGCCTGCAGTACGTGGCCGAGGACGGCGGCTTCCAGGTCCCCGTCATCATCCACCGCGCCGTGCTGGGCTCCGTGGAGCGCATGTTTGCCATCCTGACCGAGAACTTTGCGGGGCGGTGGCCGCTCTGGCTCTCACCCCGCCAGGTCATGGTCGTGCCCATCTCTGGTGGGTTGTCGTCGGTCGTTTTCTGGACGGGGATCGGGGGGGGAGGGGCGCAAACCCCCCCCCCCCGGGGGGCACGCGCCGCCCTGCACACACCACTCACTTCCCTCCCACGATAACCGATTCACCCCAGAACAACGACCCACAACAAACAGCAGCACCACCCACTCCTGCAACCCCTCAGACTCGTCGTACGACTATGCGCTGGAGGTGCGGGACGCTGTGCGTGGCGCGGGCTTCCACGTGGAGGTGGACCTGGCCGACCGCAAGATGCAGAAGAAGGTGCGCGAGGCGCAGGTGGCCCAGTTCAACTACATCCTGGTGGTGGGCGCCGCGGAGCGCGAGCAGCGCACCGTCAACGTGCGCACGCGCGACAACCAGGTGCACGGTCAGCGCCAGCTGGACGACGTTCTGCGCGTGATCGGGGAGGAGCGGGAGGCGCGCTCCCTGACCTCCCTGTTCGGCGAGGGACCGGGCCAGGCGCAGGCCTGAGGGGTGGGGGTGGAGGGGAGGGATGCTGGGGTCCAACGTGACTGGGGCCCCTTGACAGGCCGCGGAGCGCGGCATGCCTGCGGTGCCGTGCGTGTGTAGGAGGTGGGAAATGCACCCAGCAGTACTGGAGAGGCCATTGGAGAGCTTGGACGCTGGTAGAGGGTGGGGTCCGGGGGACGGGAGAGCAGCTGGGCGGTCGTCGGTGACTGCATGCCCTCCCACGCACGAGCGCGCCATCACATGCGTCTCTGGAAGGAGTGTGTGCAGGGGACAGGGTATGGATGCGCATGTGGGATATCGTCGAAACGAGTGCATACCATTGATTGTTCATCAGCCGATCAATAAGCTCGCTCGGCACCCAACGCATTGCTGCACGCTCGACCAGCACTCTCACCCCGCTCCGCGCCCGACACTGTGATGGCCGCAGTCGCCTTGACCCACGTGCCCTTCGCGTTTTGATCCTGATACATCTGGATATGTCGCGACGAACTCTCACTCTGCAGCAGCTCGCCTGCTTCTGGCGCCAGGCCGGGGCAGGGGGTGGCACCCCCTCGGCTCCTGCCACGCCCGCCATGCCCGCGGGCACATGCGCCTTCAAGCATCCCTTCCACTCGGGATCGAGGCCTGACGAGAGGCAGGAATCAATGGGAAGCTCCGGTCCCAGGCAGCCTGCGTCCCTGAGAGGTGGGGTAGGGTGCTAGGTGGTGACAAGGCTGCACTGGGCGCCATGCAATGCTAGCATCGCATCCCTGCAGCTGGGCAGGAGACTCATTCGTGACCAACGCACCCGCCCACCATTACCTTGCTGCAGACTGGGTCCAGGGAGGGGCCAAGGCCACGACGCATGCCGCCCAGCCACCACGCCGCGGTTTCAGGGCCTCCGCCCCGCTCCTCAAGGACTACTACTCCGTGCTGGGGGTGGGGCGCACCGCCTCGGACTCGGAGATCAAGAAGGCCTACTACCAGCTGGCCAAGAAGTTCCATCCTGACACCAACAAGGACGAACCAGGCGCGGCGGCCAAGTTCCAGGAGGCTCAGCAGGCGTACGACACGCTGCGAGACCCCCAAAAGCGCACCGCCTACGACCAGTACGGCCACGATGCGTATCGCAACATGGAGTCCGGGGGAGGGCCCGGGCCGGGCGGCTTCGGCGGGCCCTTTGGGGGTGGGGTGGAGGTGGACCCCGAGGACCTCTTTGGCGCCTTTTTCAGGGGTGGCCAGGGTTTCCAGGTGGGGCTGGGTCTGTTGCAAGGGGGCAGGACGGAGCGTGGTCAGACCGTTTTGCGGTCTGTGGGGTTATGGGTTTGAAAGCAGAAGCGACAACTCTAAGGGAGGCACCCTGGCTGTGCCCCTGGTACTGATGCAGGCTGAACTACATCCTGTGTTATGCCGTCCTCGTCCCTCCCCCACCCATGTCTCCCCCCCACCCATGTCTGCCCCCTATTTGCCCCACCCACAACACACCCACCCACACCCATGCAGTCCTTCCACTTTGGCCACGGCTTTGGCAATGCGGGCGGGCGGACTCGCCGCCCGCAGCGCGGCGCGGACCTGCAGACCCGCCTGCGCATCAGCTTTGCGGACGCGATGAAGGGCATCACCCACCGGATGGACCTGTCCGGCACGGGCGCAGGCGGCCCCTCCCAGGTGGAGGTCAGGATCCCGGCGGGCGTGGACACGGGCCAGCACCTGCGCCTGGCGGGCAGCGGCGCGCCGGGCGGCCCCGGCTGCGCGGCGGGCGACCTGCTCGTCTTCCTGGAGGTGGCGCCCTCCCGCGTTTTCACCCGCGACGGCTATGACCTGTACGTGGAGGCACCGGTGGACATGGTGGACGCCACGCTGGGGACCACTATCGAGTGAGCACACGGGGTATTGTTGGGGATGGGGTTGAAGGGGGGGAGGAGGGGTGTGTGAGCGGTTTGAGGACATGTTTATCTGCATGCCAGTGGCTGAAGACGCACAGGCCGCCCTCAGCATGGACCGCGGTGGCCCGTCGCGGCACCGGCTGCTGCTGCTGGGCTGCAAGGCAGCTGCTGTGCGGAGGCCATGTGAGGCCAGGCACACATGCTCCACCACCCACTCCCCCTTCCCGCCGCCCATGCAGGGTGCCAACCATCGACGGGCGGGCGGAGGTGACGGTGCGGCCGGGGACGCAGGCGGACGACAAGCTGCGGATGCGCGGGTATGGCGTGCCACAGGACGCTGCCGGCCTGCCTGGAAAGCGCGGCGACCAGTATGTGGTGGTTCGGCTGCGCGTGCCGAGGACCCTCACCCCCTTTCAGCGGCAGTGTCTGGAGGACTACCGCCGCGGCGAGCGGCAGGCGGCGCCGCAGCAGCCCTCTGGAGCGGCGGCGGGAGCCAAGGGCGGGGCTGACACGGCGTCAGGGAAGGCGTCAGAGGGGAAGTCGTCCGGGACGTCGGCCAGGGCGGACGAGCCGGCTGACAAGAAGAATGCGGACAAGGGATCTGGAAAGGCCGGGAGTGACAAGCCCAAGAGCGTGTTCGACTGGTTCAAGGGGTCCTGAGGCTGTGTGGTGCTTGGGCATGCAGGCTGTGAAGGGACATCGTTGCCAGGCCTGTCTGAGACCAGGGGGAATGGCAGGCGAGTATCAATCCACGGCTGGCTGCCCGTGACTGAGCTCAGCGTCCTCCTCCAGATGCCGACACCATTTCCAATCACAATCTGCCCGCTTCCAGCCCTGGCCCTGCCAACACGGTGTGAGGTTACAAGCACGTGACGCTACCAAATGCATGCAGTGATGCAATGCGGCGCTGCAGCGGGGTGAAGGGATGGAGGACTACAAGCGGTGGGGTTGTCCTGCGGCCTTACAATTTCAAGCAGCACTCATCGCTGGTCGGGAGCAGCTGCCCCCGGCAGAGGTTGCTCGCCTTAAAAAGTCTGATTTGTGTCCTGGGGAGAGGCTGCCGACAAAACTGCTCAGCAAATGGGGGCCTTGGCAGCAGGGAGAGGGTGTCTATTGAAGTGGCCATGGCCCCCAGGTCCCACAAAAAAACTTCAAGAGCAAGCGTTGCGCGGTACTCTCCACGCAAGAGCCATCCGAGAGACGCGGCACGGCCCGTCGCCCTAAAACGGCCGCCGCCCTCCATCTCACGGGCTCAGGCGGTGGGCGTGGGCGCGGGGGGCGGGGCGGGTGTCACCCCCCAGATGTCCTTTGCATACTCGTTGATGGTGCGGTCGGAGGAGAAGAAGCCGTTGCGGGCGGTGTAGAGGATGGAGCGCCGGGTCCACTCCTCCTGATCCCCGTACAGCTCATCGACGCGCCGCTGCGCATCCATGTAGGTGGCAAAGTCGTTGGCCACCAGGAACCAGTCGTTGCCTGTGGGTTGTGGGAGTTTGTGGGGGCCAAGGCAGTTGGTTTTGGTGGGAAACCATGATACCAGAGGGCTCAAACAGGGCAACACACAAGCTTTGGGACAGAACGGTCCTCTGGTGACAGCATTCTGGAGATCTAGGCCAGGCCGCGGGGGGTTGACAGCGGGCTGGCGACTGCCTGTGTCAAGGCTATCCAACATGAATATATACCCCACCATCCTACCC